TGTTTTTTTTTTTTTTTTTTTTTTCGCCCCACTATTACCATTATTACGCCTTTACCACCATTTATTATTCATGCTAATTAATATCGTCGCATGGTAAAATATCATAAATTCCTAGTACTATTTTCCTTTTCTCATGATTATAATTGTTATGACAGAAACTTCCGGTTGTAATTTTAAAATTTGCCCAAACATATACCGTTTTTGTCTAATATATAATGCTTAGGGGATATCAGAAAACCCCTTTAACTTTAAGATTTTCTTAAGAAATCCTCCAAAACATTATTAATTGTAATTTTCACATGCATAGATAAAGTTGCAAAATGTGGTATTTTTGCCGGTAAAAATTGGGGCTCACACTTTTATGAGGATTTTCTGAAAATAATCTTCAAGTTAAAAGGGTTTTCGCTAACCCCTAAACTCATTAAGGGGGTTGTTTGATATTTTGAAAGCAATTGGGGTTATACGCTAATCGTCCAAAGTTAAGGGGGTTTTCTGATATTTAGGCTTTTTTTTCGCCCTTTCATCACCGAGCTGCATGCATGGACTGCTGAGCAAACACATTGACAAATTTGCCCTTTGGATTAAAAATTTTCCGAGGGCCGAAGTGGTCACAAGAAACCCCCTCGTGGGCCTCGTTGGATGCTGTTGCCGTTTCTCATGAGGCTTATCACATACAGTATGTTCGTTAATGTCTCTTCTCACAAAATTCTCTCTTTACAAGTTGGATTTTGACGAGGGATTTTGGAATTTTGGAATCCTCCTCCGTTTTTTTTCCCCCGCTGCTTTCCCAGTTACTTGCCAGGTGTGCGATGGCCCTTCGGCGTGATCGCGCACGGCCCAAATGGCTATTTTGCCCTTTCGCGTTCGTGTGAAGCCCGTGGGTAAAAATCGTAATTTGCGGGAGGGGGGGGGGGGCGGGGAGCGCGCCTCGTGGCCTCGTTGGTACTTTGGGAAGAATTTGGCTTTTCTTGCCTTTGGTTTTTGTTAGAGAGAGGATGGAGGGGAGTGATTTAATTATGACTTACTTTCACTTTTGGAAATTCCATGGGCTGAAGGCTGAAGCATAATTGTTCACATTTACTTTTGGTTGATTGTCAAACATTTATCATAAGCTTTTATTTATGGATAAGTATCAGAAAGACTATCATAAACAATTGGAGGTTTTGCATAAAAGTAGCACAAACTATCTTTATTACAGAACAATATCGTAACTTTTAAAGTACGTAGCGGAAAAATATAGCATTATAAAACTATGGGGATGACGGGCTTAGTAATGATCTACAATTTCTTGTGGTTATTTATTTAACAACATAAAGTTTATTATATTTAGCTATTTTACCAAAAAATTCATGGTGGACATAAATAAACGTTCATGTCATGCCATTTGTGCATTTTTTTTTGGATATTATGTGGTTTTCTGTTGATTTGAGTACCTATGATATTTGTCTTTAATAAAAATATATTATAGCATTTTTATGCAAACTCTATAATAATTTACGGTAGTTTTTTTATATTTACCTTTTCATTGTTTTCCTCAAAAATGAAAATTACCATAACCCTCTTCTTCCATTGTAGTCTTGTACAAAAACCTTAAAAATAATATTTTTAAGACAAAATAACAAAACACCACAGTGGTTTGAAACTTTTACACACATTTCTCAAAAATCACTTCCTACAGTTTCATCGTTTACAAGCATTAATTTGGGGGTGAACTAGAAAATTGATGGAGGTCAAATTAATAGAGGAAGAACAACCTTGAAGTAGTCCATCCTAATAACCATACCATTTTCTGGTTTTAGTCTGTAAATAAAATGATGGCAAATCATTATCAATAACACTCTTTATTTATTTATTTTTCTTCTTTTTTTTTTCTTTTTTCTTTTTACCATTCAGTTTGCTCGAGAATAATAAAATGATGGCTAGACCTACTACTGCTACAACAATGGAGTGCTTAGGATTTCAATTACTGTGTTTCTTTCTACATATTCCAAGAGATTTTTGCATGGCTCCAAAAGCATAATAATGGTAGAAACAATAATGAGAAGCACTCAAGTGGAGCACTCGATAACACTTCAACAATGTCAACAAAGCCCCTCGCGGTTGTTTTCTCCTCTTCATCATGTTAGCTCCAAGAACAGGGCAATACAGTCAATTCCTCCATCATAACAGACTTAACTTCCATAGAATTGGGCTTTCAATTAAAAAAAAGAAGGATCTCTTGATTTAGTAAAGTGTAGAAAGGAAAAGTGAAAGGACAGGAAAGATCTCTCTCTGCATTTCCTGTTTTGCTTGATAGGAAACTACACCAAACTTGAGACGGGGGTTTGGGGGTTTGCTGTTTTGGTGAAAGAATTCCCTAGTGGAAAGATTTGGAAGGGAGAAGATAAAATCTCTTATCTGAGAGGGCAAAAAGGCAAAAAAAAAAGAGAGGATTTCTTCTTCTTCTTCTTTTTTTTTTTTACAGAGGCCTGCAAGAGTCATCGAGTTCATTACTAAATGACCCCCACATGGCCCGCTCATGATGAATAAAACAACAAAAAGAGGAGAAGATCTCATCTTTGTACCTCAACCTTTTATCATAGCCTCTTTGATCCTTCTGAATCTCCTCAGTTCTCAGTCCTCAGTTCATTTGATTCACTCTGCATTTGTTCAACAACAATGGTGCAAGCATCAAATGCATGTGAAATCCTATTAGATACACAAACTCATTAAATGTATAAAAAATATAACATGCATGTTTACTCTGTTTAGTTTAATATACGTACCATAACTACTAGAGAGACGACTGGAGATAGGCTTAAAAGAACTTGATCAGAAACTATTTAAGATATAAAAATAGGATTTACGTAGTCGACCAATCTGACCCAAATATTTTGGGATAAAAGGCATTTTTGTTGTTGTTGTTGTTGTTTACTCTATTTAGTTTGATAGTAGTCCACGAACACGAGTCTGTTTGGTAGTTTTCAGAGAAAAAGATGGAAATTATGGACATGTCACTAAAATTAGTTTAGCTAGATAACAATATAATACAATAGAATAAATAGTTGAAATGGATGCCATTAAGGAAGGTAGAGAGAGGTCCATGTTCAAAAGCACGTAAGCCTGTTTGAGTCCATGGACTTGTACGCAATGCAAATACTAGAACAAGCCTGAAAATGCAACAATCACACGGTTTAAATTAGCAGGATTCAATTTCAAACTCGAGTAGCAAGGGCAAAAGACATTTACTGTTACTACAGAGACTCTGTCATCAATATAGTTTGACAAATTATGGCAGAAAATTACATACACAGCCAAAAAAGAATAATTTGTAACAATAAACATTTCAAACTCTCAATCCATAGAACTAGGAAACATCAGCAAATGCTTCAATTTTCAACCCTTCAATTAAAGTTCGAAAAAAGAAGAACAAGGTACCCGTCCATATTTGGTGACAACATTCAAGAGTTTATAACCATTGTCTTCGCTCAACCATTTGAGTCATTATTACAGACAGTTTCAGTGCCTGGATTCAATTTATGTTGATGGCATCATTTAACACAGCCACGAATAAAGATGAAAACATTAGATTTGTTGGGTAAACATGGGATGAGCTGATGTGCATCAACCAACATATGCCGGTATAAGTTTTGTCAACCTTACAATGAAACTTGGAACTTTTCTTTTGTTGCCATCATAACTTCAACATTTTCTAGCATGTCCACTTGCATGAGTTTCCAAAAATATGCAGCTGTAATAGACTGACCTGTCAAATAACAGTGATCCAAGTTACTGACATGATTAACTAAGAGGGAAGCTAGCTCTGTGCTGCAAGTCTTTCGAGCAAAAATTGTGTTGTGTGATTATTTTCTCATGATCTCTTCATGTTATGCGTTACCCTCCACAAAACGTAACATAAACTTCATAATCATAAATTTATGATAAGTGCAACCCCACAACATTACTATAGAAAATATATGAAGGATATGAAGAAGAGTTATCTAGTGCTCGCAGAGCAGAGTTATAGTTTGATAGTGGTGGGCAGGAATGAGAGTGTAAATAGGCAGGGTTCACTAAGCTGTCTGAGCTGCCACAAAAACATTTGAAAAAAGCCTAAATTGATCAGGTTCCACACTTTATATCAGTGTGACAAAAACAGATGGAAACCAGAAAAAAAATCCAACTTAATGACTGAAATGAATATCATGAATACATTATGAATGATATGTGATATGTATTGCATCAGAAAATTACAGGTATCATACAACGTATTAACCTATGATTTTACCATATAAGTTATATCTTTTCCTTTTTATGTAATATTGTATCCCTGTGTACATATCCCGTAGTGGACCTCTCCTGCCTGTTTACAAGTACCATATTAATTTTAATTGCAAGGCACCATGTACTATCTCCTGTAATGACACTGTAGATTAGTTGTTTGTCTAAAATAGCACATGACAGGTCATGCATTGGTGATAAACTACTATCTCCCATGCTTTAGAACATCTACAAACGAGATCACATGATTTAATTGCATTTAACCTGCTAATCAAGCGATCTCATATTACCTATTGTCAAAACGTTTCATTTAAAAATGTCTATTGGATGTTACCCAGAAAGAGGAAATACTATTGGATTCATGACAGAGATTCGTCATTTTTTAAAATATTTTTTCATTAATTTATAATTGATGAAATTTTAGAGCATGAAGATCATAATGATAAATCCAGATCACCCACCAAGTGACTTCTAGCTGATGCAAAAGATAATATACCAGTGTTGAAAAAACCATGCTACGTAACTCGTTTATTTCACATTCGGTAAGTAACAATGATTAGATGCCACATAACATTTTGATATAACTCAAACACGTTGTAACCCTATTTATTACCATAAAACATGCACCATTTCAATATAATGTAAGTCGTTTCAGTATAACATATAGTAGACACTTGGGAGTGTTTCCTTTGTTTGTTTTGTTTAAGATTTGACGTAGTTAACTATTTACCTTTGGACTGTTTGTTAAGATTTGGTGATGTTTTTATGCTTGTGATAGAAAACTTATTATTTCTAGAGAATGAAATAAATATGAAATTATTGACGAGACAGGTAAATTTGTGATGCTATACTTAACATGTTATGGTCGCGCTTATAATTATTGCTAATCATGTTCCTATTTATTATAACTATTATGGTTGCTTTTTTTTTAATTAACAAAATAGGTAACCTACACTATGCATTACGCTCTATGCACTTTAAGATATGGAGAGGCGGACTTTTACGCTATATGTTACTAATGTCTTCAAGATTGTAATATACAGCGCTTTAAGCTTTGGAGAGGCCGACTGTTATGCTACACGTTATTAATGTCTTCAAGATTGTAAGCGCTTTAAACTTTGGAGAGGCTGACTGTTACGCTATACGTTATTAATGTTTTCAAGATTGTAACACACACCGCTGCAGAAGATTCATGCTTTATGTTGACACTTCCAAATTTTGCTATGTGCTATTCAATAGCTTGAGATTTACCATATTTCACACCAACTTCGACATCTTTTTGGTATGCATAACCTCTTATTAGGTTGAAGCTGAAGTTTTATCCACTAGTGAGCATAGTCACATAGCATCACCACTTTTCTTATGAGAGGTTGTGGATTCTCTAAAATTGCAGTGACCGATATAATTTTGCAGGAAACACCAACACATACTGACTATGCAACAGCTTGAGTCTGTTACTCACGAAGGCCTACTGTTGTTATTCTTGGAGATTCGTCAACAAGAGTTCCTTGTTTGGATTTTTCGCCCGACGTACTAGTTCCATTAAATTAGGGGTTGAGTAAGAATGTTACCATTTTAGATCGTTAAGTATGAATATTACTATATGCTTATCTAGCGGTTAATATTGCGAGATGTGTATGTGTACGGGTTGAATTAGACCCTTGTCGTGCTTTTCAAGTACCATTATGAGTTAGATATGATTTCTAAATTTCGAGGACAAAATTCTTTTAAGGGGGGAAGAATGTAAGACCTCGTAGATTTTGATAAAACAATCCATGCTATTAGAACCGAAAGGATGTCCAGGAATTGAAAGGATGTCCAAGATCAATCTACTCCATGATTCTGTTTTATTTTCGATCAAACTAGCAATTATGGGCTAAATCAGCAATTTCTTCATTCTAATATTCCCCGATTAATTTCTTTGTAATTTCTTCACATTAACATTCTATCTATTAGGTTTAAGCTGTCCCCGTTAAAGCTCAGCTTTAGAAATTGTTCCAACCATTTTCGAGGCTGGACTGTCCTGTGAAACAACATTCTTTCAGCAGCTACATAACTATCTAGTTAGATTTCATCCTCTCTATTACGCTTTTCGAGGTTACACCTAATATGTATTGGCACAACAATTTCAAACAAAACTCGCAGTACACAGGTTTACACGCTTCTTGAAACGCAAAAAAAAAATTCGGTTAAAATTAATTAGATACTAAGAAACAAACCTGAGAAATTCTCAAATCAAAAACACTAAAATTTAGCATAGTATCGGTCGTAATTGCCTCCACTGAGAATAGATCTACCTGCCTCAGATCATCCTTAACTGCCGCCGGCGAATCTCGTGAATCGAGGGTTCCCATATCATGATCAGAGGCTCATCCATGGCGCTTAAAGAGAGAAGCATATGCTAGGATTTGGGGATTGAGAGAAACCCTAGCCCTAATTGAGGAGGATGTAAGTAGAGTTGGGGATTTCGCGGGAAGAAATAAGATATGGGAGGGGATTTTTTTAAAATAGACCGATTTTGCTAAATAATTAGTAAAATAATTAATAAAATCGATCATTTTACTAATTATTTAGCAAAATCAACGGAGGTCGATTTTAAAAAACATTCTGATCAAAACATACGGGACTACTAGTTCCGTATGTTTTGAGTGAACTAATAGGGGATTATTCACCTCGAGCTTCGTCAGATGATGAATTTAGTGATTGAATTGGTTCGGGATTCTTGGACAGGAGGAGGAATCTGGTGACATTCCAGTTCTCGTCCTGGATGCCATGCTCTATCACGTCCAGGCCGTAGATAGTGGCGGTGCGGGGGCTGGCAAGGCGGCAAGTGTCCAAGGATGACTGGAACGGAGTTTGACGGCTCCTGCGGTGTCGTCACGCTGCTGCGGGCGGAAGGCCGGATGCGGGACAGCGTGGGCGGTCGGTCGGCGAGGATGCAGTATTGGATGAAGATGTTGATCTCTTGGACGATGCGGAGGTCGCTGCCACGGATGAGGAGGTCGTAGTTGCGGAGGGAGGCGCCGGAGATTGTGGACTCGACGGGGAGGATGGTGACGTCGGCGTGAGAGCGGTGTATGTCGTTAGTTTGATTAGGAGATTGAGGGAGGCCATGGAGACTTTAGGGAATTTGGAAAGAGGGGAGATCGATGAAGGAGGGTTATTGGATGGGGTTGGACAGGAGATATACGAGACTAGTAATCCCGTATGGTTTGGATAAAAATTAATCCCAGATTAGTTCACTCAAAACATGCGGGGCTACTAGTCCCGTATGTTCTGAGCAGGGTGTTTTTTTAAAATCGATCTCTTTTTTGCCCGTTGGCCAAAAAGAGGTCGATTTTGCTAAATAATTAGTAAGATGATTGATTTTGCTAATTATTTAGTAAAATCGATCTTAACATTTTTTTTTAAATCCCCATATGGGAGATGTTACAAATTACATGGGCTGAGCTACTCAAGAGAATATTTTTGGGCTTAGTCCAGTAATGATGGGCTTAACATTTGATAGGCCCATTATTAGTTGTAGGCGTGAAAACTTGCAACTAATTTGATCAAGATATAAAAGAGATAACTCAAAACACATTTCTGATCAGAAACAAATTGTGCACCACATCAAAAAGTTATGAGAGCTTGAAGAAATAAACACTGTCAGCTTTGGTTTCAGCAGAATTAATCCAAGCCAGAGACCAAATCCTTGCTTCAAACTTTGCATTTCAATTATAGCCGAGTACAAATTCCACAATAAGATAACTATCCAATGTAAATTCAATAATCTTTCTACTAATAAAAAATTAAGAAATAAGTAAATAGTCCGCCTAGTTCTGTCTATTACAAGCGGGATTAGATGAGAGGCTAGTTAACCAGACTTGATCAGCGACGACCGGTTCATCATCATCGTTCCGATGCCAAGTCCAAAGTGCATGAGTCCCGTTCACAACCTCGAGCTGGCCATGACCGAAGCTCGCCTCCCTAAACAGAGAGATTTCGGGCGAGGGATTCATGTAATCCGTCGCTAATCCTTCTTTGTTGCCTCCATCGCCGATGGTTATGTGCACTGCTCCACAGTCGTCTGCGTTGTTGTTGTTTACCCTTGCCTGCAATGATTCAAAACCTTCAGCACTTGCGAAAAACTAGTTGAGGACAAAACATGGGTATATACTTATCGTCTCTCGTACTATGGAAATATAACTACTTGTATGCATATCATCAGCACTATACTCAATCAGGTCGAAATATCATGACGATGTCTTTCACATGTCTAATGGATGAGCATCACAGGAAACGAATTGAAGGCCAGTTTAGATGCCACTCAATTGCTAAAATGATTATTAAGTATGCACACTCTGCATTAATACAGAGGACACATCCGCAAATATATAATGGCAATTGGTGTGTTCCTCAAGGCGTTAGCTGGTGTGCCACTAACGTAACACAGTTTTAAGCCCTCGTTTGTGAATATTAGCTTTGTCTGGCGAGGTATCATGTCAGTAACTCAACAGCCAACATCATCACCAAGAAGAGACACACCAGCACACAATTAGTCCTGCAATTTATCTATGTACTTCAACAATTAAAAAAAAAGATAAACATGTACTTACAAAGCGCTCGTATGCATGAACATGACCAGCAAAGACGACATCAACACGAGCACGAACAAGCAAATCCTCCATAGCTTTCCTCATATCCTCCCCCTCCCCTTGATGTGCTTCATTAGAATTATACCATGGTGCATGGATCAGTGCAATCAACCACTGAACCTTTCTCCGGTCAACCTTAGCCAAATCCTCAACTAGCCACTTGTACTGATCTGAACCTGAGTCAAAGTCCTCATACGAGCCCAACATGATCACATGGATTGAACCACTAGCTACATCAAATGAGTAGTACAAATTCGAGTTAGACCCGCTAACTTCGTAAGGCATGTGCCATCTTGCATTGTAGGCTTTGAAGGGTTTTTCAATTATTGGTATTTTTTCAATCTCGTGGTTGCCTTGAGTTACCATCCAGGGTCGACTGCTGGCAAGGGGTTCGACCAATCGGCCAAAGGAGTCCCATTCAGGTTGGTAGAAGTCGGCGTAGGAGAGGTCACCAGGGAGGAGGAGGACATCGTAGTTGGAGGTTGAGAGGTGAGTGAGGGTTGAATTCGTCCATCCAGTCTGACCAAGATCTCCTGTTCAAAAAGAGTGTTTTTTTAAGGCCAAAAAGCAAAACATTTGTCGATATTGTTAAATATAATATTTTCCTTTCTTATCTCCTTAAAAATGATAATAATATTCTTTTTCTGGGCTTTCTTTCGATAAACTACTTTTTACAGGTCCTTGTTCTTAAGTTTTATAAAAGATTACCCTTGAAGATGGCTATAGAAATATGACACTTGTTGCTTATGAGAAAACTTATTTTCTTTTCCTATTTGGTTTACTTCATGAAACATTTGACGCATGGAATTAGAAAGAATAATGCAAACTACACTACAAATAATTTACTGTTTTGACACTACAAAATATAAATATATTATGCCGTTCCTCGGCACTCATAGTTCCCTACTTTTAGAATATGTTTGAGTCTTCTAGGAACAAAATTAATGCAAGATTTCTAGTACAACTAGCACTGTTAAGACAATGTATCATTTATTGCTATGAAAAAATGTTTATCATTCATCCCATCCATTATACTAATGATGCATCAAATAGGTATCTGCAGTCGGATTAATTAACGCAATGCGTCGAAACCACTAGATACTTGCTAGGGTGACTGACAGGCCTAATATATCATCAGATTTTCAATTAATTGGAACATTTAAAAGGAGAAAAGAAGAGAATTCTATGTTACCGGTTACTGCAAAATTGATGGGAAGTTTTGACGGAGGAGTCTTGAAAGAGAACTCGCGTGCTGGATTAGAACTACAACGATAATAATAGACAGTGCTTGGCGTTAGGGGGCCTACAACGACGTCGTGGATTAGGCCCGATTCGTAAAGCATATAGGAGTACTTGGAGGCTGAACCGGAGGCAGAGAAGGGGTATTGGCCTGATGAAGTGCCGTACTCCACTGTTGATGGAGCGTCGGCGTCTGTGATCCAAGTTACTCTCATTTTATCAGGCCCAACTTGAGATATATGCACCTGACAATTAACAACAAAAAAAAATTCATATGTTAGTTTAACTTAAATAGCATTAGAATACACGTCGTTTAATTAGGATGTCTCTCATGTGAGCAGTGGCGTAGCCGGGATTAATTTTTTCCCTGGACGAAAAATAAAGATGGTCTACAAGTATGAGGAGCTCAGTGAGAAAGAGGAGGGAGGCGCGGGAGAGGGAGGAAGGAGAGGGAGTGGGAGAGGCGGAAGATTAGGGAAATGCTCGACAAAGTTGAAGAGAGGAAGGAGATGAGGAGAGGAAGGAGATGAGGAAGAAGAGATGAGAAGAGGGAGGAGGGAGGGTGACAATGGCGGGATATTATTGCCCTGAGCAGCTGTCCAGGGCAAGAATACCCTGGCTACGCCACTGCATGTGAGTAGGTTCTCTTAGCCTTAAAAGGGGCGGTGAAATATGCAAAGTGTCTCTCGTATCCCCTCGAGCAACATACTTGCATTTGGGGTGTTTTTTAATTTTTAATTTTTTACTTTTAATTTGCAGAAAGCTCCACACGTTGGACATCTACGGATCCCCCCCCCCCCCCCTCCATTAGTAGGGAATTTTTGTAGTGAACATTTTGGCAGCCTAGCAACATAGGTGCAATAAACGAGATAGGACATCAAAAATCATGATGACCAAATCTATTTCTGTATTAAACTAAATGGTTCGTTAAAAAATAATAATGGAACATTTTACGTGATCTATAAATAAACAAATAAATTAGAGATAAAGAGTACTAAATGTGGAATTGACATTATACTAGGAATTTCACAGATGTACGAACTATTTCTGACAGGTACATCCTCTTCATTATACATGTGAATGTAACCATGAAACAAGGAATATACATCGTTTAAAAAAATACAGAAATTTCCAAAATATAGGAAAACTTATGGTATGGGAGAGGGTGAGAACATGGGAATGAATTGCATTAATTTCTTATCCCTGGTCACAGCTGTATCCACCGACCTTCATGCATGCATGGTGAATATAAGAAAATTACGAATTAGGCCAACAATAACCCTTACTCTCCTTTTCTAGCATCGGTTTAATCAGCATATCGACGGAATTAAATATGAAATTCTAACCGAATACAATTTATGATACTTTTGGGATAAATGACCCAAGTTACCGAGTACGTACAAAAGGGATATTCTTATACGCATTTTTATTCTAAAGGGTTAGTTTCCCGACGGAAATTATGATGGAGAAGCGAGCAAATACCCCATATTTTCACTTAAAAACGATCAAGATAACTGAACATTAAGCTTGAAGAGGCGATTTGCAAACTGGTGAATTTCAAAATACCCCACCAAAGAAATCATTATATTTGCAAATCTCCCTTACTCTTTAACACTTAAATTGAATTGTATGAGCAAATAACATCAAATTACTCCCAACCCCAAACAAATATCAAGCATGGATCAAGCAACTAATCTCAAGATACTTAAACAAAAGACATAAGAATTAAGTATGGAAGCATCAAGTGAAAAACACGCTCGATCCTAATGAAACGAACTAAACATTAACGAACTAAATGAGGATTAAAGACATACAATTTACCAAATTAATTGAAAAATAATCTAAAGGCGATTAAATAAGGGTGATATGATAAGTACCTGTTGAGGAGTGAGTTCATCAGCATCATCATCAAGAGGAACGGAGAGAGTCTCCCTCGCCTTTGGACGTTGATAACAACGAGACCCGTCAATTGAAAAACACAACAAAACCCCCATCAATATCAAAAGGGGATTAAAATTAAGACCCATTAATTATTGACCTTATTACAAAATGTTGAGAAGAAACAGAGAGAGAGAGAGAGAGAGAGAGAGAGAGAGAGAAGAAATATTGAAGGCACAGTTGGTATATTAATAGATAGAAAGAGAGATACAGTGCTGTTAATTTGAATGACGTCACAAGGGATTCATTTTGGAATCTAGACGCGTGAGAAGTCCTAACGCTTTCTCCCTCTCTTTCTCTCTAATTTGCCTTTGTTTCGGTTTGGCATAGAGAAGATGGGACACGTGGGAGCCTGCGGAGCGTGACAGGTGTGAGTTTCCCCGTCACCCGTGACATTCCTAATTGGCTAACTTGTTTGGTTATTGGGTTTTCAACGGATAATTAGTGAAAGTTGGGCCGAATGCTTACTTAGTTGTATAGTTAGCGATAACTACACTATTCCATTTTAAATTACTTTTGCATTACAGGAGAGAAAAATAAGGATCCAATGTTTATAGCAGTTTAATATTGACTACGATTGTAGTTTAGAAAAGTGTAACACAGTTATCGCTATTCTTGTTTTATTGAAATTCTGAGATGGCATATGTCTTATTAGGTTTAAGGGAAGCGCGAGCACTGCGATTAGTGGTTTTTATTGAAGTGGTAATTTGAGATGAGAACTTTTTGAAGTGTTTTTGAAGGTTTCTTAACCTGAGGAGACACGAGCTTTTGTTTTTGTCTAGCCCGTGGGTTTGGTCTGGAGCAAACGCCTCCTATCTTTCTTTCCATGACCGAACATTACTAAATTGTTAATAAACAACAATTAGATAATGGCTCATAATTAGACTAACATATCAATCCAAGTAATAAAATAACATAGGAGAATAAAGAGATTTATCCTTGGTTAATTATCTCTGTTTGACGTGATTAAAAAATAAATTTTAAATAAATGAAATAATTGATGACAGGTTAGCTGTATACACAGAAAAGCTGGTTAACATGTAGAATCCAAATATGTTGCTTGAAAATAAAACCCGCCTCGTTGTCATTAGACATGAAATCTTTGGATTTTAAGGCAAGGTTGCCGTATACGTACGAAGACCACATTAATTGGCCCAGATATAGAAATAGACCGAACAAGTCGCATTTCAGGTAGAAGATTCTTGAGGACGTTGACTTTTGAGGGTTTTAACTTGTTCTAGTTTGGTGTACAAAATATTGTCCTAATTTGACTTTAGAACGGTCCGTGTGAGCCTCAATGTTGACGCTGGCATTTCAGCTTCATTCCTTAAATTGTTGACTTGAAAGGGTCCTCGGTCTCATACTTGTCCTCAAGAAATGTCGGCGAGTAACGGCTGCGACTTTCTTCTTCCTTCACAGTTCACACCAACTACTCGTCGACGAAAATGGTGGCCCAAATTGAATTGGAAAATTACCGGATAATAGCCCATCACCTACCCAAGCCTCGAGTTTATAAGTTGGGTAAATGAAACTTAAACTTACTTTTAAGTAATTATAAAAAAAAGGGTATGGGGTTTTTTTTTATGATGATCTGTTTACTTTCTTTTATGTGGAAGCAATGCCAACTGCAATTCTAAAGACCGTCTCAAAAAATCGAAAACGTAAGCTAAACACGAGAACGAAAGAAAAAAAGGAAAGAGGGGAACTGGTGGGGTAGGCGGACTGCACGGGACTACTAGTCCCGTTCAGTTCCGTAACTGCAAAATCGACCGTTTTAGGTCGGTTTTGCTAATTATTTTTTGGGACGGTCGATTTTGCCCAATAAAATTGAAAAATGGGCTGTTTTAAAAATTTCTCCTTTTTTTTGAAGTGTACTAATCCAAACATATTCCAAATTCGAACCAATCCAAACGTCGAAAATGGAACCAAAAAATTGGATTGGTTAGAAATTTAGAATGGTTTAACGATTCAAATGCTCACACTCACTTTCAAAACGGTCAAAAAACGGCTATTTTGTGAGGTTATTTTGGTCATTTACCTAGGGGGCTGGTTCTATAAATAGAGGGGGGTTTTTATTTGTTTTCTTCACACCAAAAACTCATCTCTTCTCTCTTATACTCTTATACTCTCTTATTTATACTTTCTAATCCAATCCCCAAATGGCTTCCGGATCTGATTATGAAGAGCAAAACATTTCTCCTGATCCTGAAATGAGTCCTCCTACTATGAGTCCTCCTACTATGAGTCCTCCTACCGAAGTTAATCTCGAATCCGGTGGCGACGAATCTGCACCAAGAGCTCCTAAACGGCCAAGATCCGATGTGTGGAATTTTTACGAGAAGATCGACGTCACCAAGGATGAACACGGTAGGATCCTCACCCAGAAGGCTAAGTGTGCATTGTGCGGCAAGATTTTTCAAGCTCATCATAAGAGCGGCACCAACCACCTCAAACGCCATTTAGATAAACACAACAAAGGTCAGACTCCTCAAGCTGATATCCGACAATCTATGATTTCTCAATCCTCCTCTTATGGTAGTCTCGGTAGTTGGAACTATGACGCTGCCAGAGCCAGGAAATGCGTAATCAGGTTTATCATTCTTAAAAACCTTCCTTTTAAATTAGTAGAAGATGATGAATTTGAAAATATGTTTAGAGATGGTTTTTATCCTGCATTTAAAAAAAATTCTCGTCAAACCTGTGAACAAGGAAAAATAATTTCTTATTTTAAAAATTTAAACTGTAAATTTTCTTTAACTTCTGATATTTGGACATCTAGAGCACAAACTGGATATTTATGTATCACAGCACAATGGATTGATAAAAATTAGCAAATGTTTAAAAGAGTTGTTTCTTTTATTGTAATAGAAGAGTCACATACTGGTGCTAATGTTGCAAATTTAATAATTGAAGAACTTATGAAATTAGAAATTTTAGAAAGAATATTTTCTCTTTCACTAGATAATGCAAGTAATAACAATGTAGCTTTTGATTTTACCAGATCATCTTTATCATTGCCATGTCATGGTGATCTTTTTCATATTAGGTGCATCTGTTATATTTTAAATTTAATTGTTCAAAGTGCATTTACTGAAATTAAAGCCATGATAGAAAAGGTTAGAACAGTTGCTTTACATGCATAGTGCTTCTAAACAAAGACTTAAAAGATGGAAACAATTTTGTAAAAGAAAAAATGTAAAGCCTAGACTAATTCCAAAAGATGTTGACCATAGGTGGAATTCCACATATGCAATGTTAAGTATAGCAATAGAATATAAAGACATTATAACTGATTTTATAAACTATTATGCTTCTAGTTCTAGTTCTGGTAGCACTTATGGAATAACTGAAGATGAATGGACAGTTATATGTAATTTAAATAAAATGTTATAAGTTTTTTATGATGCTACAATGTTATTATCTGGCTGTTATTATCCAACCATTACTTTAGCTGCTTTACAAATTTTAAATATTCAAAAAATTTTTGGAAAATATCGTATGGATGCTACTTTTGGACCTATGATTTTTGAAATGGAGAGCAAATTTAATAAGTACTTTAGGCCTATTCCTCATATTTTTGGTTTGAGGGTTCTTATTGATCCATGCTTGAAGGATATTGGCCTTCGAAGTTTGTTACAATCAATGTATGGTGGACATGTTATAGACTTAGATGATGGAACCACCCTTACTGCTACTACTCATCATTTAGTTATTAGAAATTATTTTCAAACCTTATATAATGAGTATGCAGCTAGACATGGTGTAGTTGCACAACAGTCTACAGCTTCGGTTTCTTCGAGCTCATCCTGAGCCCGAGGTAAAAGTGTAAGTTTTAATAGGTATGCAATGGTAGCTGAGCTAACTGGTGGATCTGGACTTGGATCGTCATCATCGGAGGTTTCTGAAATAGATGAATATTTTTCTGTTTCTTTAGTTAGATGTTAAGGAAATGCTTTAGATATTTTGCAATGGTGGAAAGTATATGGATCAATTTCATATCCTATACTTTCCACCATGGTTCGTGACTTACTAACAGTGCAGGTTTCGACGGTAGCTTCGGAATCCGCCTTCAGCACAGCAGGTCGTTTGATCGACAATCACAGGACATGCTTGGATCCGTATACTGTACAAGCGATGATGTGCTTACAAGATTGGTGGAGGTACGAGAAGCGAACGCAAGGCATCGATCGGATGACTGGAATTGAAGATAAATTTAAAGAATTGGGACTAACAGATAGATATAAAGAATAGATTGTAGTTTTTATATATTAGCTTAAAATTTGTAAAGAATTATTTTGGAAATAATTGCAAATGATAGTGATATAATTGCAAAATGAGTAGGTGCCAACCTAGTTGGGATTTACTTATCTATTGTGATGCGATTAATTCCAAAATAAATTTGTACTTGTAATTTGTAAATGATTTATTAGTTATTAATAAAGAATTTGTTTTTATCATTTTTTATTTGTAATTTATGTCATTTTAAGTAATTAATAAAATTATTGTTTTTATTATTTTTCTTATTTTTTTTATAATTTAAAATTTAAATAAAACTGAAAAATTTTGGGAAAAAAAATCGGCCGGGCCAGCCCAGAACCCGGCCCGGGGTACCCGGGTCTGGGTCCCTGTTTTGCCCGGCCTAGGTCCGGGCCTGGATTTCCGGGCCGGGCCGGGCCGGCCCGGATGGACATGCCTATGCTGGACATAGACTTATCACGTGACTTAGACCCGATCCAAATGAGTTAAGAGGTGCTACACCAATCCAATTTGCTCCTAGTCTTAGCTAGACTTATATTTGGAAAAAGATACAATATTTCATGCAAAAATTAAGCCTCTAGATTCTTCAAAATATTTTACGCATGTTATTCTCCCTTGCTTTGCTCTCTTTGAAGAAACCTCTTCATATATACTAGTCTCCGTTGTTATTCACGTGACTATGAGATCAAATTTACAATTAATTTCTACATAAATGGGTGTTAATTATTGGATAAAATTTTACTGGACATTTATAATTTGCGTGTGCAGCTATGTTTTACCAATATTGTATATGTTGAAACCGGTGCTTCACAAACACAGAAGATGCTTATACAAAGCAAATAATAACACAACACTATATAGAC